CCGTGATACACAAAATATATTGTAAAACCGGCTTATCGCGCGGTGTTTGCTTTGGCGCCGTTTATTTGGGCAATAAAAGTTAAAACTACAGTTGATAGAAAAATGAGGAGGAAAGTGGCCGTACCTCCCTGCAAGTCCCTTTTTTTGAACGTTTTAAATAAAATCAAATAGGTTCGTTCTTCGAAAGTAATTTTAAAATCCTAAGGCATCCAGGGTAAACATCCAAAACTATATATATAGAATAGAATGTATTGATAACGTTTTTACCTATAGTGTGCTTTATTAAACTTTGTAGACAACTTAAAGGTTATTTTGTAAAGTTCAGGTAAATTGCAATGACAGTTCGTTCGTACCTAAGTTACGGTGAATGAGAGTAACATAGCTTCGTTCCAAACGTAGTCAGATTCCTGCAAATTCCTGTCACGCAATTGATTTTTGTCAGGCGAAAAACATTCATTGTATCAAAAAATCAGTTGAGTGACAGGAATTTACAGTTGCAGTTTCCGACTGCGGTTGAAACAAACAATCCACCGTCTTGAAGAGGGATTCAACGTCCCTCATTTTTATGCCTTTCTACAAACCCTTCTAACAATTTCTATGGGGTTTCATTCATTTCATTAAATATGATATGATATGACAATGTCTTCTTCAAACTAACATGTGCATAACTTTTATTGCCTATTCTTATTGAAACGAAAATGCTTTTCTCTGTTAGAGTAGAAAGCCATATTTTTAAGTTTCAGGCATACGCAATATGAATGTAACAGGCTTTCTTATAAAATCCAATATTTTCATTGCAATCGACTAGGATGACTATGACAATGGGGTGGTATTAAGTGAAATTATCAGTATGAGATGGCCAAGGATATAAGAACTTTGCCCTGTACTAATAAATAAATATTTCCGTTCGTGGACATTTTAAACAATTTTTAAATACATTAATTTGTATTTAGTAAAATTTTTGGGTGTTTACCACTTGCTGTTGCTAGGTTTAGCTCGCTTATCCTAGGTTTTACCGAAAAGTAATATTGCAAGTATATAAAAAAATGAACTACTCTTAAAACCAACCAGAAAATAATTAAATCTTAGGAACACTGAAAATGGAAACCGTGGTCACTACCCAACAACAAGGGGACTACTGAGAAGGAGCACATAAACGCTAATGGTTGCCTATCTCTTTGTTCTATTGGATGGTAAAACGCACATGACAGCAGACCCTATTTTCTTTTTAAAATGTTAAGAAATCTTTTAGAAGCAACAGTTTCATTAATGTAGCGATCTAATTATTATCAGAGAAAGGAAAAACATCTTTTTGTAATAAGCGAATAATAACTTGGACGTTTTAAGCCTACTTTTACAAGTGCTCAAGAAAATGACATCGTCGAATATTGTTTGAACATGAATAATCTTTTTTACGGACTCACAATTCAGTCATCACGAAGACTTGTTTTCCAATATGCAGAACTAAATAAAATTCCTAATCGGTGGATTGGAGAATTCCTTAAGCGACACGAGAGACTGCGATTACGTCAATCAGTTCCAACAAGTCATGCGAGGGCAATCGGTTTTGATAAAGTACAAGCTGACAAATTCTTTTGTAACTTGAAGGAATTGTATGAAAAATACAATTTTAACCGGGACCCCATCTTTAACATGAAACTGGGATGAGTACGGTTCCCAAAAAGACACTCAGAGTCCGTGAAAGGAAAAAAAGTGGTAGGAAAAGTTGTGTCTGGGCAATTTATACCACCTGCCTTCATTTTTTCCGAGGAAAAGGATGAAGGGTGAGCTCCTTGATGCAGGGCCCACCGAATGGTATGGTATCTGATTCCGGATTCATAAATTCAGATCTGTTCATGAATTGGTTATATCATTTCAATCCACAGCAGGTACAAAGTTCAACCATTGGATACTTGTTAACGCCAAGTATACCATCGAGTGTTGGTTGACTCAACATCCTGGGAGGGCTATCACACAATATCAAGTAGCTGCTCTTTTTAATGAAGCCTACAAACAGGTTGCTACAGTCGGCAATACTGCCGCGGGATTTTCAGTGGCTGGAATCTATCCATTTAACGATGGCATTTTTCAAGAGTATGACTTCCTCCCAGCTACTGTAACTGACAATGTAAATATTATCTCACCGGTCCAAGGAGATGAAAATGAACCAAAAATGATATAGACAATACAAATACTGACCTGCCAAACCAAAGAAATGAGAATCGGCCAGAAAACAATCAGGCATTAGCCAATATAAAAATTTACCCGCCAAATCAAAGAGTTGAAGCTAAACCAAAAACTTATCGTCAGGTTTTCAAAACACCACAAGTTTTGAAAACTTATTTAAAGAAGATTTGGAAAACAAACAAAACGAAGAATTAGCTAAATCAAACAAAAGGAAGAAAAGAACAGCCCCATTAAGATCTTTATCACCTCAGCCTTGAACATGGGGTGTTTCTTGTATTTCGGAAACTGAAAAAATGTCCAATACGAAAAAAGATTATTTTTGTCGATTATGCAACGAAAAATATGAAGAGCCACTTGCTGAAGAATGGATTGAGTGCTTCAAATGCGAAGATTGGTGGCACGAACAAAACAGGGGTATTTTTATGCGACTTATGCAAATAAATATGTGCGTACACCTTGCCTGAAGACTGCGAACAGTTACCCCAATGGACAATTTGTAGTGACGTCATTCTTAATTCTTAATATTCCCCTAAAAATTAGCGAATAAAAAACATAATAGGGTTAACTTTTTTTTAATTTAAGGGGAACGCCGGTAATAATTAGAAACTAGGGGATGATTGTGGAATGCCAGAAAACAGAATATTATTTCACAGTTACAAAAATCATCCAGTATGATAATAATGATAATTGTAATTAAAACGCATTTTCTAATTTGTTATTTTTATTTTTCTTGTAATTATTGTTATTATAAGATAATTTCTTAAATCTTGAACTTTTGACGGCGCCACACAGTACTCGCATCGACATCTCAATAATTGTCTTATTGTTTTATGACGCAGGCTTTGGGGAAAAATCCAAAACAAAAGTTTCATGGGCGCCATAAACTTTGAAGCCATATCGGGTCCTTCGATTCCCCGTTTATGGATACGGGATCACGTTTAGTCGGTAAATTTAGACATTTTAAAGGCCTATCACGTACCCGCCGGATAGAACGTTCTTGATTATGAAAATGACGAACCCTAAAAGTTGCGACTTATATACCCTCACTTAACTCGTCGCTATTTTATTGTAATTACTCGAAGCGCCTCGCTAAACATTTGTGACAGCACGAAGCGAAAACTTGAAGGGGAAGGCTATAAATTAAAGTTCCCCGGCTGTTTACGAGGTATACACGTTTTTTCCTATTCCGTTGACTACCGCCCATAAAAAATACCTAAAAACTGAGACCGCACATGTCGTAAATTAAAAATAACGCCTCAGGCAAGTCCGATGTAGAGACATCATCTTGAATGTATAATTTGCTCACCGAGCGTGTTTAACTTCGACTAAGATCGTACTTTATTCTGAAACCTATCTTGTGCCTTTGCTTCGTTTATATACCGCTAAATTTTACACTTCTGCAACTTGTTTCCGTGGTGTAGTGGTTATCACATCCGCCTAACACGCGGAAGGTCCCCGGTTCGATCCCGGGCGGAAACAACTTTTTGAAACTAGATATCTTTTTCTTTTTTTTTTTTTTAATTGTTACGGTAATGCAAAAAAGAGACGAAAATTTAACATGGATACAGTACGCGTCAAAATTAATTTCAAAAAAAGTCTGTGGCACACAGTGCATGTTGATTCATTACTAAACACTGTGTAGTACCAGCACCATATTAGAGAGTGACTTACTTAGGATGACTTACCTAAATAACTTTAAAATATAACGTAGTATTTTGTTAGTAATTTCCTCATAAAAAGGTAAAGAGGAAATGTCCCAATTAAACTAGATACACACAAATTAGATTCGTTATCGTAGTGGCTACAATCTTAACCGAAACCAATACCAAGCATCGGTGGTTCAGTGGTAGAATGCTCGCCTGCCACGCGGGCGGCCCGGGTTCGATTCCCGGCCGATGCATATGCCTCTTTTTTAACTTATGTAATTTTTTAGTCAGTTTTCAATTCTTATTTCTGTTAAATTCCATGTAAATTTATAAAAACGTGCTAATTTAAATTTTCTATAAAAAAAATTAAATTTAGCCCCCACGGTCTTTAGTACCATATTACCTTATATACCCATAGTAGCATCGGTGGTTCAGTGGTAGAATGCTCGCCTGCCACGCGGGCGGCCCGGGTTCGATTCCCGGCCGATGCAACATTTTTTCGATTTTTTACTTTTTTTATTTTAATTATTTATGTTATAAACTCATATACGAGGGCTGTGTCAAAATTTCCAGGCCTGAATATGAAAGAAACAAAGTAGATTAACATTTTTTTATTATTTTTCAATATAATCCATCATAACTTTAATACACTTATTACATCTATTCAATCCCCTTAACAAAATATTCTTTTGGTTTGTCTGCAAAATTAGCTACAACAGCCTCTTTTAACTCAACTTCGTCGTTAAACCGCCGTCCACGTAAGTCCTTTTTTAAATATCCAAACAAATAATAGTTGCTGGGGGTCATCCAGCCTTTTTTTAATAATTTTAGGTGCTAACCCTTCTTTTGTCAAAATCTTTTTGACTGCTCAATAAAAAACTATTTGACGCAAGACTTATTTTTTTTCTCAGCCTACAAAGATATATATTAAAAAGAAGACAAAGTTTTATCGTGATACTGGAGCGGCATCTATGTCAGGCCGGGAAATTTTGTTGCTAATCTTGTAGTACCTGCTTGGATAGATCTAGAAAAAATATGCTTGAGGTCAAGGCAGTAGCCTGTTTAGTTTAGTTTAGTTTCCATTTGCAGAAACGTCTGAATATGAATATGAGAAAATTAAGCAATTAAAAATTAAACTCGGGTCTCTCTGTATAAAAATTCACTTACATTCCACTAATAAAGATGCCGGAGAACTGACGATGGGAACGTTGCGTCTTGATACATCCTCTGCTATGCAAGTGAACTCGCCAACGTCACGTTCGCGATCCACCCTGGTTATATGCAAATCGCTACCCCGCATATGCCTACGCGTGGTGTTCACCACCTTCGAACCTGAAACGAAATTTCGCACTCTAGCAAAAAAAAAAAACACCAATCCATCTCGACGACTCAACAAGTATTCAGAGAGAAACGCAAACTGATATTTTGGGTTCCAGTTTTGTATTTTACAAATTGAAAAACTTCCTATACAAAGAATACATGGATCCACAGGCTTAGAAAGTCGCTTTTCACAGAGAACATCAGAACTTATCTACTTTGTCATGTCATTTCAAGACCCAGAAAAGAATTATCTCGTACATTCTCCAACTGCACCCCAGGACAAAACCGCATTCTGGCACTCTGGGTATCCTTACACTTCCATCTCTATGTTATCTGTCGCTGTTATGTTTGGCAAAAGAAATCCTACTCTGTCCATAAAGTCTATAACCAGCAACAGGGCACAGTATAACCCGACACAACTCAACATTTTCTGAAAAAGCAGCATAGGTTTGAAAAAAGAGAGAAATCTAATCCTGTTTGCACAATCGCTTTTGCTCTTTCAATTTTGAATGTTAATTAAACTTTATATAAAACAATTACTCAAAGAAATCTTGCACCTGCCATAGATAAAGTGCGTCTGACGATTGTTCATGCTAATGAAGCCTGAAGGAGATGTAGTATCTGCCACAGCCACACAATTTATGTTTGTAATAAGTGTAATGTGTACACACTTCGTAGTTAGTAAAATATCACCAAAAATGAAACCGAGTGTAACCAGTGGTGCGCCCATGCGTTTTTTGTATCAAATCAGGCACCATAAAATAAAAAAGTTATTTTTTGTCGAAATTGAACTTTCTTTTGTATATTTATGCATAAAAAATATTATTTAATGTTTCTTCCCAGTGGTACGTTTACCCACCAGAATTTTTTTGGATGTTTTTTTTTTATTTTTTGACAAACGTAATGCATTCTTAAGTGCGACAAAATAAATAATTTCATAGCAAAAAAGTAATTTTTTTATGCCAAAAAATGTTGAAAAACTCTGCTCTAGAGAATACAAAGAACGGCACCTTTCTAGGCGGCATACTTATTAATAACACAAGGTCTACAGTGATTTTGGTTTTGGGGGCCTTTTTTACAAAAAACACCATATTTATTAATATACATAACCAGTGGCATGAATATGTTTGTTTCATATTAGGCATGATTTTTAACAGAATTGATTAATGTTATTAGATTTCCCTGCAAAGTCCTGCTTATGCGCAGTTTGGTTGTATTGGTGGTCGCCCTACTTTGCTCGCGGCTGTTGTCTTAGTTGTTGCACATTTCTAGTGTTCTAGAACTTATAAATAAAACAAATAACTTTTGTAATATCTATGGTAGTTATGTCATGATAAGGCAAAGCATAACTGCAAATTCTTTTGTGAAAAAGAATGTTTAAGCTTTGGTGTTCCTATGTATGTTATTTTTGTTTAAATTTCAAAAAAATCAGGCAAAAACTGTCTACTATATTGCAAAAAAAGGCTATCCTCCAGCCGAGCGTTTTTTTGTAACACTCTGTATATAGGATGGAATCTCCAATTTAAACTTGAATGCCTCGAGTTAATCGCGAACAGATCGATCTCGGAGCTGTAAGTGTGTTGTGCGCGCTTGGGCATTAGTTTACCGCGGATTTTAATTACGCATAAATCACGAGCCCGCGCTTTCGCGATTTTAATCACGGGGAGCCCTTAATCGAAAATCGCCTGTTTGTTTTTTTTAACCGCGAACTAAAAGAAAAAAGAAACTTAAGCGGTAATTATTTCAATTGATATAATAAATCACATCCATAGCGAGTGAGAGTTCTAATTGCGCGAGATGAATTCCATCCTCCATGTTACCCCGGGGTTGCCGGTGTTTCGGTCGAGTTTTAGTTCTTTAGTTGTTTTCGTTGTTGACGGTGTCAATTATTTTCTGAAAGACGGACAAAACGGGTTCACTCAAGGTGTAAACAAAGAAAATAGCTTCCACGTGAACGTACAATTAACGCAATTAAAAACAATATAAAAGATAAATAAAATTTTGTAAAAAATTTCTGTAATTTATATTGAGACATTCTATATTGATAGAGTAACCAAAACCTTATTTTTCATACCCCTTGTGAGCTTCACCTAAAGTGCACTGCTAGGATAAAATGCTCGAAGCCCTTAACAAACGAACGAAATTAATTTTTATTTCCGAGAGGGCGAGGTAAGCGTACGAAATAGAATTTTAAAAAATGCAATAGCTTTGCATTGAATTTTTTTAATTATATATATTTTTATTTATTTTTTTTATATAGTTTATTTACATTAAGATACATTCCCCATCCTTCGTTGCCAGATATTAAGCCGTTGGTTTTGTGTTTCCAAGTATTTATGCTGAGCTTGCACATGTTCCAATCTTAACATCTATTCTTGCTTGTAAAAAAGCTATAATGGGTTGTCTAATTACTTTATTTACTGATATAATTTCTATTAAAATCATTTAGTTACTTTTCAAAATATCTATTTTCTCATCGTAAAAAATATTGCATTGTAATTGTAATGGTGGGATAAATTACATTCTTTTTCGGTATAATTTTTGCTATATATGTTAACGAATAGTCTAGGAATGGCTCAAAGTTGGAGTTGTTGGCTAATTTTAGGCTATCAACGCTTCCCTGATTTAGATTGCTTGTATTGCCAGTAGAGGGCGTTTTGCATAAAAAAAATTAAATGTCTTAAATATTTTTGAGAAGCTCATAATAAGCCTAACAAAATTGCTAAAAATATGCTTTCAAAAAAGCACGCGCTTTTTCGTATAAGCGAACTATAAGGTTGTTCGGAAAGTCATTTCGTTTTTTCCCGTCAGAGGACTTAATTACGTTTTTTCGAAACCAACTTCACACTTAAGCCGCATAACCATTATATGTCTTGAGCGCTGATATTGCAAGGCTTGTGTGTGAAAAAGTTATATTAATTTTACGCAGTAGTTTTTTGTTGGTGCCCTTTTAAATATGGAGAGCAAAAAGCAGCATTTTCGTCATATTTTACTTTTTTACTTTAGAAATGGTAAAAATGCTGGCCAAGCGAGAAAAAAATTGACGGATGTGTATGGAGAAGGCGTGTTAACAGTACGCCAGTGCCAGAACTGGTTTGCAAAATTTCGATCCGGCAATTTTGATGTCGAAGATGCACCACGGTCTGGAAGGCCGGTCGAAGCTGACAAAGATGCGATAAAGGCATTAGTTGATGCAAATCGGCGAATAACCACACGAGAGATCGGTGAGAGATTAAATTTGTCGAATTCGACTGTTTATGGCCATTTGAAAGGCATGGGCTTTACCTCGAAGCTCGATGTGTGGGTGCCCCATGTCCTTACGGAGCGAAATTTGTGTCGTCGCGTTGACGTATGTGATTCGCTCCTCAAACGTCAAGAAAATGATCCGTTTTTGAAGCGGATTATTACTGGGGACGAAAAATGGGTTGTATACAACAATGTTAAACGCAAGAGGTCATGGAGCGCAAAAGATGAACCGGCTCAAAGCGTGTCAAAAGCCAACATTCACCAAAAAAAGGTGATGCTCTCCGTTTGGTGGGATGTCAACGATTAATTCAGAAGTCTATTGTCATCAACTGGACAAATTGAATGATTCACTTAAAGAGAAAAGGCCCGAATTAATCAACAGGAAGGGTGTAGTGTTCCACCAGGATAATGCGAGATCTCACACAAGTTTGGTCACTCGCCAAAAACTTTCACAGCTTGAATGGGACGTACTGCAACATCCACCATATTCTCCAGATCTGGCGCCTTCCGACTACTATTTGTTCCGGTCCCTGCAAAATTTTTTGGATGGCAAAACCTTTACCTCAAATGAAGATGTCAAAAACCACCTGAACCAGTTTTTTGCCAGCGAGGACCAAAACTTTTATGAGAGGGGAGTTATGTTACTGCCAGAAAGATGGCAAAAGGTGTTGGACCAGAATGGCCAATATATAATTTAATAAAATATTTATTCGTTATACGAAAACGGTCTTTCATGTTCCCAAAAAAAAAAAAACGAAATGACTTTCCGAACAACCCAACATAACCTCAGTATAAAAATGCAAAATTTCCAAAATCATTCCATAGTTAAAATTCCAAGATGGCTAGATATGACATTTCTGTTTGCATATAACCAATATTTTTTATTCTTTGAGAAATGAAAAATAATAAATGTTTATTAAAAATTATTAGTAGGTTTTCTTTATACACAACAACGTCAACGTTGAAAAATATGCCACAATAATTTAGCTCCAGCAAACGTTTCGAAATTACCTAAACAAGAATTAGATATCGGCTGGAATCTATTATCTACGTCGTATAAGCTAAGTGGTAGGTTGTAGTAGTCGTCTGCATTGGTTCCTTTACGAAAATATCAAAGTTTTGCAGCTGCTAGATAACATAGTTGTCCTACTACGGTTAAAATTGTTGCGACTGAGGTGGCTATGACATTTTCGTAGTACTTTCTTTCTAAACAGGAATATTCACGCATTTAACTTTATTTTGGCCAAAGATCTGGACATATGCCGCATCCGCAGTTATTGACGATCTCTCAGCGGCAATGTTGTGGTTAGTTTTTTATGAAATATTGAATTTATAAAGTATTTTATTAAACGTTGAATCAGTCTTCCAAAAATATCGTCATAGTTTTTCATAAGATAATGTATTATTATTAACGGTAGATAAACACCCATTTGAAAAATTAATTAATGTCCAAAGTGGCAATCCCGCGAAAGGACTAGGAGGGGGCAACTATATCGCGACCGCGGGCCACACGCTGCGTAAGTCGGCGTTCTTAGAAATAAAAAGGCGATTATGATAAATATGGTACTCCGGGGGAGATTGGGTTTCATCGCAATTATTTTAGCACACGTGCACGTAGGTACGCAGACCCATTACGGCCAACCTCATATGGTACCATATAAATTATCGTCTTAAGTTTTGATTTAAATTTAAAATCGAGCTACTTAAAGAGATACCACTGGCGAGATACGTGATCTTATCGTCTCGTAGGGCTGCCATCCCGTAAAAATCGGTAACATAAATTATGTCACACATCAGACCTCTCCTCTACAAGCTGGTCAATGCTTGTGACAATGCGTATGGCCATCGTAGTATCGGTCGTATCGGCGGTATTGGCAAATCTGGCTCAAGCGTGTGTCTGGCAATCATCATCCATACGTTGGCTGCACTGGCTTTGAGATTTTGGGTTATGTTGTGGTGCGTATTGCGTAATATTATAATTACTATCTGTATATTATCGCATATTATGGCGACGATAAATAACAAAGAAATCGGCCTTAAATTTCAAGAAAATCTATCAAAAAATATTTTACATATTGTAAAAAATAAAACAAATACTCGAATAGTTGGATGATGTGGGCAAATGTTTACAAAACTAACAATTCAAACACATACACAGGTTTAATTTAATAAAAAAACGCTTTTTTTGGAAACTATATTTATATCATTTTTTGTTTTCGAATAACGAATCTCCATAGGATCGTTGGCGCATTTTTTTAAACACCCTGTATAATATATAATATATAATAACATTTCTTTCTTTAGATATTTAGTTCCAACTTTATATTAAAATTTAGAGGGAGTGTGGAGTTCAATACTACATAAGAAATATATTTTGTAAGTGGTACTTTTTAAAAAGCAACTTTTCATTTGTTCCCAACAAATTTCTTGGTTTCAATTCTTTGACTGAACAAAGCAGGCCTTCACTTTTTATAAATACTTTATTTGAATTTTGCGTTACACGGACAAATAATAAAATTTGAAGTAGTTTTTTGTAAATATTCATAAACTTTTAAGCCATTTAGCTACTAGCTACATGTACAGCACAGGACACACCATATTTTGTCAATTTTGCAATTAAGAGTTCGTGAAAGACACATTCGACGTCATACTCTGCTGATCTCAAAAGATAAGCATAGTGTCTTTATTTTTAAAGGAACCTTTATAATATAGAACTTAACTTTATAAAAAAACATTTTCAAATTTAAATTAAATGGCACGTACTGTATTGTACCATGGATTTCAACGACAGGGTAGGTGTCTACTAAACTTATTTGGTTTAACGTGTCTTGATGAGATGAGAGATATAAGGCCCTTGCTGGAATTGTTAGCTCTGAGTTAGTGCTGTGTGGTAATCAAAAGAGAAAGAACTTTCTGTTGTTATTTATTCACCTACCATTCAATTCCCAGTAGTAAAGGATCCCATCGCTGGGTGTCACTTCACAGGGTAGAGTCACAGAAGCCCCGGCCACAACCGAAGTGTCTTTCGGGCTCCTACTAAAGTAGGGGTCCTCCGTAGGAACGCCGAAAGTTACGCGAACTGAAACTGAAAAAGAAAATGACGTCAAAAACGATATATAAACAGTTTAATAATACATTTTAAAACCGCCATATTGATGATACCACAGAATCTTTAATTAGAAGTGTCACATTGATTTGGCATGGTTTTATCACTGCAATAAGGGTAGTATTTGACAAGTTTCTCATTCCTATCTTCAGTCCGCTTTTAATTTCGTTTTTGTTATTGGAATTGATAGTTTTATTTGATAAACAGTTCCAATATAGCAAATTTCCGTTATTTAACGTAGAATTCCGTACTTCTCTCAGATTAGGTATAAGAGCAATTAACACCCATATCCATGAATAACCATTTTTCTTTTCAACTTTTCATGTAAGTAACGAAAATTATTTATTTAGTGACGTCATAAGACAGTAAATAAATACTAACCGTTTCTGTGGTGTATGACGGACATTATAAAATAAAACAAACTTTGGTATAACCACTATTAACATTTCGTTAATTCTGAGGTTATTTCGAGGATTGGGGCATTGTTTTTTTTTTTTAATTATCCCATCGACGACACCTCAAAATGCCGGTCGAACCCCACCTGGTGTCCTCGACCCGGCGTGTGCGATTCCATGCAACGGACTTTCGTGAGAAAATTGCTTCGATACTCGCAGACCACAAAACAAATTTAATAAATTACGTGTTGCCATTTCGAGGCATTTTATTACTTCTTAGAATTGCGGTTTTTATCATATTTAGCTGGCGGGGCCAAAACCTCTTTTTTTAAAACCCTTTTCCGGGTGCCTTCTTTATGGGTTTCTTTTTAGAAGAAACAGATTGGGACTTGGGGCCAAATTATATCAACTATTTCACAATCGACGCTTCCTATTAGGATGTCCGGTGCTGGAAAACTGAAAATTCTGGTTTTCGATTTCGATCTGGTTTTGTATAACTACGCAATTATTACATTTTCAATTAATTAATTTATTTAAAGCAGGCTTTGATTTGCTCATTTTTCATTTTTTGAAAACAGACAAAGTAACCTTGAAATATAAACAATCACGTGTATATCGTGTCTATTATTTTGATAAAAACATTTTAATATTTTAAGAGATAAATAAGCAATAACCAAAGTTCCCTATCTACTTTTTAGTTAAATTAGAATCACACCTAAAAATGCGATGTTCCCTGTTTATGTCGGAAGACCCTAAACACCTTTTATTTATCAAGTCATTCTTCTCGGGACTGAAAAGGGATTAAGGGTATCACAAACGGCGTTGAAAGGAAGCCTAATTATTTGCTAGGTATAGAAATACTGAGGTACCGGTTCCCGTACCAGACACGGTTGTTAAGAATTGGTATACCCACAGCCTCATAAATTGTGAAAAATGATAATTAAAAAACGTCTTTGTAGAGATAAATAACCCAAAATTATGGGCTTGGAACGAATTAATTCTTGAATGGAAATGGAATTCAGGTAGATTTCGACATTTAGATGAATGACCGGTACCCAAAAATAGCTTAAGAGAAATAAAGAAGCTGCCGAAACTTAACTAATAAACCCAGATATAAAATTCATGGAATATCGCTAATACTTTTTCAAAACAATGGTCATATAAAAAATTTTATTCTTTGGGCACCAATGAGATTCGAAAAACTAATTCTTACTTACAGAGGGCAATACCAAATAACACCGAACCGAATGCCGAAACCATAGTGAAACTTCAAGTTATACGCGCAAAAACCAATCACCATTTGCCACGAAAGTTCAAAACTTGATCCCTTTTTGTCATATTTCGATCAGGACCGGTACAAAAAATCGCCACTCGAACCCGACGCGTTAATACCAACTACGGCCCTTTCGTACCCGCGCCAAACTGGCTTTAGCTTGTGTGATTCGCAGCTGGCTTCGCTGCCGGCAAAGTTCAGCGCCCGGCATTTGTTTGAAATTCAAGCGCAGATAATCGAAGATTGCCGAACGTCAGAAGCATTTATGGATGGTCGGTAGGCAACCGCGGTTTCATTTTACGTGGTGCCACCTAATGCTGAGGTTTTGAAACGGTATGCGTGCGGAGTGCCCTTCTTTATGGTGTCTAAGTGAAAAGTGAAGAACTTATCTCTGGGTGACAGAAGGTGAACATCTCAAAAATACACTTTTTTTTGTATTGGTAACAACAATTATTGCGTTTAAATATTTGTGACACGTATTGTTCAATTATTTTGGTTAGAAAGCAATCGTTTGCAGAGAATCTGGTAGTAAGTAAAACGAACTTGTTTTCATTGCAATTTCCAAGTGGAAACATCACCTAGTGCTTGAATTGAAAAAAGAAAACGGTGCTTCCGATTATAATTAGCCGAATTAAAATTGTTAAGAGACCGAAATGGTTTTTAAGTGCAAAGTGAGCGATTACTTTTGTTATGTTAAACCCAGTTATGACTAACCGAACGTTGATAGGAATGCGGATGTACTTGCAAAAGATGCCTCTCTAGCGATCACGACGTCCAGCTTCATGTGGAAATCGAGAACTTGAAACAGAAACTTCTGGAAAAAGAAAACCACATTGTTATGATGGAAACTAATTTTTTAAATGAAGCCAACAAGTTTCCAAACGGGGAATTCGTTGCATTAAAAGAGGAATTGCTAACATGGCAGGATAAATATGAAAGGTGCTGCATAGAAAATGTAAAAAAATCTTTTAGCTAGGCGTTTCATTATTAGGTTATATGAGGCACATAGAAGGGTTCAACGGGTCAATCAGGGTTTAGAGGATAAGTTGTTAAAGTTAGTAGATGTTTGTGAGACTGAGAAAAATACTTTAACCAAGGATGTTGCCACACTCTCGCAGAATTTAGCCGAAGCCAATTATGCCATTAAGAAATTAACCCAGGATAATGTAAGTCTGAGTACATAAGTTCCCTCAATGGAATTGCTCTTGGTGTGTTATTGAATAATAAATTTGCAAAAACCAGTTGTGTTCTAAATTTAGCAACCATTATACATTGATTTCTCAGTGTGGTAAATATTTAAAGACTTCCTATATGACCTTGCTTGTTGTTTAATTTGTTTTGCAAATGTCTGAGGGTGTTATACAAGGTGTCCTGGAGAAATGTGAGCAATTTCTCAGATCTAGATTTAGAAAAAACTAAAAACTGATATGATCATATTTTTCTAGATGCCTCGGTCACACAAATAATTACATTAATACCTTTTCTTACTGACATTTTAGGAAAGGTACAAAAATGATGTGAGTCTAGCCATACAGTTTTTGCAATGCAAGCAGACGAATTTTGTCGCTCACCGCTTTGACACGGTAAGAAAACTACTATAGCTTACAAAAATCTATTCCTTATGGATATGTAAAATTATCAATTGTAGTTATTGTTAAATAAATAAGTACTTTAGGTATGTTTCTAAGCTTTTAAAGATGTCAGGTGGTGACTCCACCTCGAAAACTAATTATCTTAAAGAATTTGACTGGAAAAACTTATAATCAAAGCCCTCAAGAGGAAATGCTGGATTTTTTTTTTATTTTTTAGTTGATTGGTGTTTAGTGTGATGTGTTGCAGATAAAAGCTACTAACACATAAGTTATTTATATTATATAGTCTTTTAAGCCCGGGGCTCAGTATCTTCATTATGGGCCGCGGTTTGCAAAAAAATTGTGATATTTAAACTTCCTTTTCAGAGATGATGGTTCTGTGAATGGTAGGGGTTCGTTTGGTTCGAAAGTCAATGATTTTTCACCTCTTTCAGCTTCCGCTAGAGGTCCAAACTCAGGTGGCAGCATACATGAATAACAAACGAAAACCAGCAGAAGAAAAAAAACCATTGTCAGAACCCAAAAGTATCAAAGTACCGATACCGACGTTTCCGCCTACCGCAATGGTATACTCTGTGCCAAAATCGCCGGGTACCGACCGTAAACCGGAAGTGGATCCGGACACACCCGAGGTTGATATCGTTTCGGCTTCCATCATGGCCAAAGTTTTGGAGGAGCGACAGAAGGAGAGAGCTTTAGCGAAACATTGCGACACGTGTACCTGCGCGAAGACTTTGAAAATCATCTATGAAGCGTCGCATCAGCACGTGGGCACCCAGACCGGACGTTACAAGGAAAACTTGTGCTTGAAGTGTAACGACGTGGTGGTGGTCCCTGTAGCTCTGGGTAAGTACAATTTGGTTTAGAAAAATTATTGAATCGTATATAGTTCAATTAATGTGAGCTTTGTTTACACCATGTTTGTACAATATTCCCTAACTAACCTAAACTTCATTTTAAACGTCACTATTGAAATATATTTTTAAAATCTTGTCGCCTTTTGTATCTTGTCTTGAATCTTGTGGATTGGAATAGTTAACAGAAAGCCTCGCATTTACTATAAGTTTTATATAAAAATTCAGGTTTTTATTTAATTTTTTTATTTTATTTTATTTTACAAAAGAACCGTAAATTTTTGCTTTTATTTATTATCCGTTAAGGAAGCTTATTAAAAAAACCTTACTTATTACATAATAAATATGGCTTCGATACAACAATGAGAATAGATTTTTGTCTATACATACAACAAAAAGATATAACACTAATATAAATGGAGAACGAATTAGGCAAAATTTATACAGAAATCATAGTTTTCATTAATTTAAAAAATCAAACGGCTTTTTAAATTTGTAAAAAAAAATAATTTACTTTGTTCCATCGTCTTCCAATTTAAGACTCGATCTTAACCCATTTTTTGAAAATTGAGCATATTTTTTTCGAACGTCACGTCGCTTGATTTTCAAAATAGACGGTACTCAAGTTTTTGTTGAAAATTGACATCACCAATTGATTTTTCGAAAATTATTAAAAGTTGGGTCGTCATAGTTATTAACAGTTTTTTTCTCTTAAATGCATCTGGTAAACGTATCCATTTTTTTTAAAGCTAAGCTTTTTGAAATTTGTGGTCGTGGTGCCTTTTTAAATAAATATCAGCGATTTTTTCTCAAATTTATCAAATAAAGTGGTTTGAGTGAGTACAGGAATAAAGGACTAAACAAAACTTGGGCTGCTTGGAAAAAGCATTTAATCATTAAGGCAGTAAAGTATAATTGACACCTAAAAAGAAATACAATTTTGGTTAGTTTGGTTCAAAAGATTTGTAGGCAGGACACGAAAAATGGCCGTATCGAGGCAGTATAGTTTGAGTTTATTGTACGTGCATATTAAAAATGAAGCAATATTTGTTTTTAATGTGACCTTCTCGTCTTAACATTGGATAAAGTTAAAACCTGTTTAGAGGTTCATTTTTAATAGGGTATTTTTGAAAGGACGGTAGTGACGTCATTGTGACGCTTGTACGAGTTAACTTTCAGAGGGAGTACTTAATAAGTGTTATAATTTAATTAAATTTTGAACTGAGGTGGCTTTTACTTGATGAATTTTCAAAATTTATCAAAATAAATAAGAACTAAAAGTGCAGATTTTCACACCGTGTCTTTATCAAATGTGACACGGTGTTGTCGAAACAATTGTCATGTAAAAATATATAATTTCGTGAGAATCTGAACTTTTAGTTCTTATTTATTTTAATTAAATTTTCATGGTGACGTGTAATTGCAGGGATCCAACCCGCGAAGCTGGCAGTTGACAGCTTAAGGAGGCCGTCGCCTTTGCAATTGGACGCCGGCCCGAACGTCCATAATGTCGTGAAAGTGCAGCCGAACAATTTCCTGAGGGAAAAAGCGAAAAGTGACTTGAAACTGTCGTCTGGTAACGTGGACATCGTTGCCAATTCTGCGTCGAGAGTCGAATCGGCGGATCCCATATCGATACACCACAGGCTGTGCGACAAGTCGTCGCAGAGCTTCGAATTGGTGGTGGAGAAAGGCGATTCGGAACAAAACGTCGACCGATCCAGTGCCAAAAACACTTCGTCGGACAATCCGAAAGGGCCTAGGTACTGTTCGATGCGACTCCAGTCCGGATCGAAAAATATCCTGCTGGATAACGCGCACAGCAACGTAGCGCCTGTTTTGTACACCAGGAGCCACAAGGCGAGACTTCCAGCTCCACAGGTATAGATAATACAAAAAAAAATATTCAAACTTCGAAAAATATGTAGAGGTTAGGTTCATTATATTTATGAAAAGGATAATCAAGGTTCTGTAATCGGCTCAGTTATTACGACATTGTAATAATAATAATACTAATAAAAGAGAGTATATCAATCATAATTTCACCCATCCAAATTTTTCCATTTTGGTGTGTTTTTTTTTTTTTGTTCCTGAATGCTACCTAGATAACCACAAGCGAGCCGACTTACATAATGTATAGCCATGTACTGGGTTTTTATTTATATTTTAACACCCACTTACAGAGGTTATTGGAGGTGGCATTACTGTTGGACTAAAAAATATACTTATCGCTTTTTGTTCAGCTACGTATATTTTTCAAATCGGCTTTAAAGGGACTTAAATATAAAAAGTTATACAGGGTGTTCGATTTAAAAAACGGGAAGTTGTGTTTTCTTGCATTTGCGGCACTCATTGGTTTTGATTGGTACACCAACCTTTATGTAATTTTAATAAATTCCGTAGGTCGGTGCCTAAATATAAATTAAAATCCTGTACGAGGTGGCCAATTAAGAAGGGCACTCGGGTCCTATCTCGAAAAGTAATTTTCTTAGACGTGGAGGGAATAAAGCGGCCAAGAGAAAATTATTTTCAAGCTTCTCGAATGGCTTCAAGGGGGGAGTGGGAAAGTGGTGTTACAAAGAAGAAATAAATGTCTATGATTTCAGAGTGGCTGAAAGCATTCTGTTAAATTTGGAGTTATTGTTGGCTCCTTTTAGGCTATTGACTCTGTCTTTAGCAAACTGCTCTAGATTGCTTATATCGCCGCTAGAGTGCGCTTTACGACGTCACTAAAGAAAATGTCATTTTTTAATAATATTGAATATAAAATATCGCTTCTGTTGCAAAAAAAGATAGCCATTGAAAAAAATGAACAAAAACTCAGTATACCTGCCATTATTAAATCCCAATTTTCCAAGTTCTTTTAGCAAAAATATGTATCAATTTGCTGCTAGAATACAAGAATTAAATTCAATATGCCAATAAAAATTAATACTCATTCTACATTATTGAATATTTAGCATCCCATTTTCGTAGCCTTGTTCGTAAAAAATATTATTGCCCATCCCACTTTGGCATTCTTGTTTGTAAAAAATATCTTTTCCGCCTGTAGAAGAGCTTGATATTTTTACTTTGAAAACAATAAAAACGCAACTACATCTGTTAGATTCTATGCGACGAAGTATCCTGCATTAAAAAGCAAATCTTTGTTGTTTTATCTGTGTTATTGTTTTTCATTATTGTAGTGCGATATTCAGTGATGCCAATGAAATAGAATGTTTGCGTTTTAACAGTAAAATGTTATAAATTTTGCTAAAAGAGCAATATTATTATGAAATAATGGTTAGGTTAGGTAATTCGGATATCTTTTGGTTACAATGAAAGCGATATCGTTGCAATTCATTTTTTGGGGAAATAAATATTGCCCGTTAGAAATTCGTAAAATGCCCTCTAACGACGATACTGGTAAGAAAGTCTTTTTCAGCGGCACCAAATTTGAGAAAACGCGTTCAGCTTTTCTGAAGATATTGATATTTATTTCCGAAAATGTTCGAACACCTCTCGCCACTTTCCGTTAAGAGATAGAACAGAAGCAACTTGAAGCAGATTTTCATTTTACTGTTGTGTATTGTAAGTCTGCGACAATTCCCTTTCGAGATAGACTGGAGCGCCCTTCTTAATTGTCGTTGGTCTGATCCGGCCGTTTCAGGCGACTCATAAACCCGTCGACGGTGTGAAGTCGCGCGACGCCGACTCCGCCTCTAGTCGCGACAGCAAGGCCAACAGTTTGACGAGCGATAACTCTGCGCAGCACCAGCAACGCGTAGCGGACTGGGTGCGCAGCAGCATCGAGCGCGACAACGCGACGAGCAGTCCCGACGCGTGTTCGCGCGCGGGCGACGCCAAACCCGACGCCGCGGACAAGACGAATAGGGCGAGGTACGCGGAAATGGAGGAGAACGTCAAACGGTTCTTGTTCGGAGAGAGCGAGTTCTGGAAAACGGTCGAAATCGGAAAGCTAAAGTATATGAATTATAGGGAGGGGGAAAAGGGCGGAGCGCAGTTGTCGCAGGACGGCAGTCGGACGAGTTCGCACACGGAAACTGACATTTAGATCGACGGGCGATGCGCAGGCGTCGGAACCTATAAGGTAAACGACGTACGGGCCTCCCTCTGGTGGCTTGACGCGAACTGTGATCGCAGCCCCGCCCACCCATCCTTTCCATGTCTTGATTTTATTTCTTTTTATCAATTCTATAGTGTCGTTGTTAGAAGGATGTTATTTTATTCCGAGTGTTCCTCGCAACAATTATTTTTTGTACCCGGTATATTCACATTCACTTTTGTCTTCTCCTGGACACTTTTTTGCCAATCGCAAATATTTAACTCTGTCTCAGCAAAGTTCACAGAATATAGAGCGCGAGTTAACACAGATTCCTTAGATATTTTGTTCTATAATATAGGGCGTCAAGCTTTGGTGAAAAATAACGTTTTTTTTTTAACCAATTCGACAGTTTTTCATATATTTTCTTGAAACTCGGTATGTATAGTTAGCACTGTGAGGTTGATTACACTAATTATGTAAATAAAACACTACGCACCAGCAGAAAAAAGGGGTGTCGATGATACACGGCGAGTTGAGAAGAAACATGGTCGACGAAAAAAAGCAACTCTCCTTAGGTGGTAGCCAATTAAGAATGGCACGCAGCTCTGTTTCGAAAAGTAATTGTCAAAAAACTTTCTGCAATGGCCGCTAGGGGGGCGTAATCGCATTCTTGACTTTGAAATAACGGTTTTTGAGAAATGATCTTATATTGTTTTTAAGTTGAGGTAAATTCGATTCTTTGTCGCTGTTTTTGGAGTCGTTGACAAGCGCTCTTATGTTTGTTTCGCCGTTAGAGGGCGTTTTGTGACATTACGGCATATAAAATGTATTTTCCTAAAAAATTAAATGTCACGATATAACTTAGCGAGAAATAGTCGAATTCATTTACAATTTCAGGGGGGCTTATAGAAAAAATAACAAATGAAATTTCAAGTTTTATAAAAAAAAAGGGGCAGCGTGGTTGACAACAACTCTTATATATTCTGTAAACTTTGCTATCGGCAACAAAAATTTGAAAATACATTGTACATATCAACCAGCCCTGCTGTTGGTCTACATAAGGTTTAAAAAATGTATTTTGTCAGATTCTCATTTACCCTCGAAAATGTATAAATTTGACTTTTTCAGAAACAGTCGCTTTAATGTAAATGTCTTAAAAAAGTAAATAAAAGTTAATAGACTCCCTTTATTAATTAAGGCAAACGTTTTTTACAAATTAACATAAATTAGAATCCCAAAAGTGGAATTTTTGAGGTTATTATTAAATGTTAAATATGAAATATCAATATTTTTTTCCTTTAGTTCGTAAAACTCAATAACTTTTCCGCTTAGAACTTAACCCGAAAGTCGCTTAATTTCTTCGGAAATCAATTTTAAACCATTTTTAAACTTATCGTCGATTTAAAACTGTCAAAATGGGATGGGCGAGGTTGCTCACGACTATAAGGAAAAAAATTGTAAACCGAGTGTTTCATTATCCCACTCTTGGGATGGATATTGTTGATCATTTTCTGTAACATATTTATTATAATTTTGTTTAGTTACCAAGAATATTTTTTCCCCATTCCGATTGGTCTAGGAATAAAAGGTGGAATAAAAAAAAATAACTTTCATATAATTTTCATTATACTTAATACAACATACAAAAAAATGTGTGTTCAGCGAATCTTGAAAACTTCCATTGCAGTATTTAAGAAATCTAGGTGCTCAATTTACATGTATATATGACCCTCGCACCCTCTGGTTTTCTACCATTAGCGTTAAAGTTATTTTTGTTGGCATAGATCATTTTCATTGATTTCAAGCTATAGGGGAGGTTTTCAATGTGTTTTGCGAAAATTAAAAATGCGGTGGCGCCATCTGATGACTTTTATCTGAAATTTAACAACGCGTTACGGGGGTTACACCAAACCAACCAATTCTACGGTTTATCTGTGGTCTTCAGCTTCGATTCCGTTTTAAATTTCGCATTCTTAACATCCTGTAAATATTAGTAGTTAGTAGGGATTGTTTTTTAGAAGCTTTGCCGAGGTAGGTATGTGATATTTGAGTCGTTAACAATCGGTATAGGTATGTATCTACATATTTTTTGTAAACTGTTTGCTGTGAATGTGAGCTGAATCATTATCTACAAAAAGAAAGACCATAAAACATTTTTTCACTCTAACAAACTGGTGACAAAAATCGTTAGCAGCAAATTTGTATGCATATTTTTAGTGGATATTTTTCATGCCTTAGATGTTCTTCATATACTAGGGTAACCGTAATCTCTATACTGATGATTTTTCTACCGCGTTCTACAGTGTGATCGATTTGAATCGGAACGGTTCCTGCAAAATTCTTTAAATTTGCTTAAAAAAATATATCCCGTATGTAAGAACAAAAGAAAAAGTACTAAGCATTTGAAATGTTTAAAACGACTTGAATGTACGTTCCTGTAATTCTTCTATAATTTTTCAGATTTTTCTATATCCCGTTTCGAATGACGCTCCATACAAACGGGGGGGGGGGGGGGGGCAGGTAAGACAAATTTTGGTATTTGTTTGATATTTAAGACATCTCGAAAATGAAGTGATACCCGGTTCATTTCAAATTGATCACACCGTATATAGAAAATAAAAATTGTCTGTGATCCGCAATCTATACTACATTTTTAGATAGATTTTCTTACTTTAGGTCGTACACAAAGGTATTAAATGTATATTTAGGTAATGCGAATGTTGAGGGTTCAAACGACCAAATATATTTATTTTGATTAGATTTCGTGGTACATTAAGGTGTCCTATAAGTATAATACCCATGAACACCGAACATTAACACGATAAGAAGGGACACTCTGTTGTAGATGAAACGGTCTTAAATCCGTATACCAGAGGCTTTACCAGACTTTTCTCTTCTTCTTTCATTCGTGGTCATGAGGTCGCGCCTGCTCAGGTTGCGAGTCTAACGTAATAGTTATTTAAACGACGTCTGACTCTACCTACGACTTCGGACAGGTCTGTCATGTTTAACCACAATTAAACAACCGGCAAGTAACCCGATGGATAGGCGTTAAGCACTACTGCCCGTTGGGTGCTAGTAAGTGCTAATAGGTGCAGTCACGGAGACTGTCCCTTCTTATCGTCATTGATTAATTATAGCATATGATAGAAGCTTAGTTCTTATTGTGTCCGCGTGGCGACGTAACTTGACCGATAATATTTTTTTAGGTGTGTTTTAAGGGCCTCGCGACCTTTATATTATCAGTATAAAGCTTCGAGCTTTAGCTTCGGTTTTGTAAATTCTCGATTCGCCTCGTTGTTGCCATTATTTTTTAAAATCAGTCTAAGGCGTATCTTCACACTCTAACCACAACTGCGAGTCGTTTGTGATTATTTCGAAAATTCTCCTAAACCTCTGTCATTAAATATTGGGCAATCCGTTACGACTTAAGCGTTTGTTAGGTGTGCCCAGTCGGATAAATAAATAACTGTGCAAATGTGTAAGTTTTGTTTTATTTTTTATTTTTATTGATCCACGGTGTTGTAAAGGAAATATAGGTGAGGTAGATTAACTGGGTCCACGAAATCTAGCTCAACCAAACAACATATCGATAAGACTGACGATTTACCGAAAACATTAAACCACTGGAGAGATGCACAGTATTAAATAAGAACCAATTTAGGTGTAGCGTTTTACATCACAAAAAAACAGCACACTAATAATATGTAGTTCATTTGCAGACGATAAAACGCCCAAAAATGCTTAATTTTCAACATTCAGGGTGATTAAGTTTTTTTTTCCAGTTTTGAATATTAAAAAAGTACTCTTTGTGCGGTTTTTTATTGCGGACTTGCAGTGAAGTGATTTTTTTCCACAAAAACGAATGGAAAAGTCAAGAGATAAAAGTTTTTATGTAAAATGACAGAGCCATGCATTTTTTTTTGCAATTCTTGAGAATACACCACGAGACGCCACTGGTTTCTGATCTACTATATAAGGCTACTAGAAGTAACACTGCAAAATTTTCAACGGTATTGGTAAACTCCATCCACGCGATCGAACAATGGCATTATAAATGATTAATAGCGTAGTACTTATTTTATATTTTTGAAATGCTATTAAATTAGCGCGCAGTATACCGAGTGGTGCTAAATTACTAAATTTTACCAAAGAAACTTTCATTTTTTAGTCATAATTTATGAATCACCCTGTAGAGTGTGCCATCGTAGTTCCGTTCCAGGTGACAGATGGCGCCACGGTCCAAATTGCAACTTCTGGTTGAACCGGAAGTGACAGCGAAAATAGTTTTTAAACTTACCTTAACGCAAAACAATTGAAAGTGGATGAAAATGGTTGAAACACTAGACAAATTCCATCATTTTTGTAGATGCGCTAAAAAATCCGAAATTTGCCGGATTGTTTTTTTTTTTCGTATTATTTGAAGAGATTTTTATTTAACTTTACGTACTTCGGACTCGTATTTCGATTTTTTGAAGTATTTTAATAAAACAGATAGACAATTACTTAAGTAAGAAATAATGATAATAATTATCTGCATATTAACGATATTGCTAGCGATATTTTAAGCGAAAACCTTACACCGGAGATCGTAATTTTTATTTTAAGAGCCGTACCATCAATGTCTGCCAAAGTGGGCAGGTGAAATTCTGCACGCCTGCTGCTGGTGTATTTAAATAAAAATAATTTTCCTTATTTTTCCTTAAACATTGATAACATTTTAATTGGCTGTAACTTTTTTGGTTTTAGAGTTATCAAGGTAAACAAAAAAACAAAATGTAGGATTAGTAGACCAGTTCTTTTCCAAGTAACGTATAAAACAAAACACTGTCAATTTTCTGACAGGTAAGCCTACATCATATTTTTTTTTGACAAATCGGCAAAAATAGGAAATTTTTTTGGTGATCAATCCACTCAGTTTTGAAAAAATATAAGTATTATGCATTTAAATTTCGTAAAACTCAAAAAGTAAGTGTAGAATAATGTCAAAGGGGGTGCAGTTTTGTTTGGATTTTTTAAATAGACAAGAATAATAATTTTTTGAAAAACATTTTATGTAGTGATGAAAGGGTTGTATAGGGTCGTAGATGGGCATATTTTGGGTCCGATATTTATAGATCAAAAGTTAACTGGAAATCATTATTTGCAACTCTTTTTATTTACCCCGAAATATATCCGCGTTGATTTTCTTAACATGGAATATCCCAGGGGTTGGATAGCGAACGGCGGAACTATGGATTGGCCAGCCAATAGCCCCGACTTAACTTTAGTGGATTTTTTCTTTTGGGGACACACACACACACACACACAAAATCATGTGCACAGAACTCCTTTTAATAATATCATGAAACTTCGGCAAAGGATTTTAATCAGTTACGAGACAATCCGCCAACGTTACTAAATGCAAGAAATCCTACAATTAGAGTGTATGAGAAATGTGTTCAGGAAAATCGTTGTGACCAACAGCGGTTTCTAGAATAGTTAAAGAATTTTTTACTTTAGTGTGTCTTATCATTGTTAGTGTTTTTGTTCCACTTTAATGTGTAAATAACGGCACTATTTGTGATAAGATTTTCCCCATTAAACTCTGAAATATTTTTGAAATGCCACTGTATTTGTTTATTATCATATGAGATTTCTAACCTCAAAACATAAACAAAATTAGTCATACGACTGAACAACGTGTAATAATTGTGAAAATGGTCAAAATCGACCTTCTGAGAGGACAATTTGGAATGTGGTTCAAAAATTTGAGCAAACTGGATCTGTAACTAACCTCAAAACCCCTCAACGTGCTCGTGCAGGTCGGTCAGATCAAAATATTGCCATTGTTCGCGTGTAGCCGAAGATCCAAACACATCGATTCGGCATCGTTCGCAGCAAGTGGGCCTTACGTATCAACCACACAGCGAATTTTAAGAAAAGACTAGCATCTACACCGATATAAAGTCCAAATAACTCAGGAGTTGAAACCTCGAGATCATCAACAGAATAGATACGAGAACCGGGGGTTCATTTGTCAACGAAAATCATCTTTAGCGATGAGGCACATTTTCACGTTGGTGGCTTTGTAAACAAACACAATGCTCGTATTTGAGGATTGGAAAATCCAAGAGAGATTGTTCAAAAAGCAGTGCATCCTCAAAAAGTGACTGTTTGGTGCGGAGGAATAATTGGCCCCTTTTTTTTCGAGGCTAATGCGGAGAACGCTGTTACGGTTGATGGTGTTCGCTATCGAAACATGATATCTGATTTTTTCTGGGAGCAGTTGGAAGGTATGGACATTGAAGATTTGTGGTTCCAACAGAATGGAGCCAGTTGTCACACATTCAGAGAAACGATGCGGGGCAAGTTTCCTGGTCGCATTATCTCACGTAACGGCGATATCAATTGGCCGCCACGATCATGTGATCTTACTGTCCTAGATTTTTTTTTTCTTGGGCTATCTAAAAAGCAGAGTGTATAGAAATAAATCAAACACTATTCCAGAGCTGAAACAGGAGATTAGACGCGAAATAGCCGGCACAGAACCTGAATTGTGTCATTTTGTAATTTTTTTTTGAGAACTTTACCGTCCTGTATCTAAAAAGTCAAGTCGTTTAGGACATTTATTCATATGAAGTTTTTTTTTTAAATGGACCCAAAATCGCTTCCTTCATTACTGACATTCAATTAGAAAACACGGCGTACTACTCCGCTCCAGCACAATTTTCGCTACTTGACGTGACGATTTTACCTTTTTTTCATTTTTATTTAGTTTTGTCTGAGATGCAGACCCTCGCGACCCTCAAACGACACGTTCCCTCCCCGTTGGGTTGCGCGAGTTACGGTGGTGGCGCACGGGCTGCGAGCAGTCACGGCAAGCTTCGCGGTTTCGAGTTGCGCCAACGGCACAGTCGCGGCAAGCCGCGATAGAAAAGCTCGTCTGTTCTCGCATGCGGCCATGGACGACGACTCCGTCACTTTTACCTTTACCAAGTCGGCGTGCGATGTTTTGGGCCTTTGCTGGCGTTTCGTGAGTGAAATGTGACATTCTGGATTGTGATTTTTCACCGAACATGTCCGACTCGGATTGCAGAGACGACAGTTGGGAGGATTTTTTCGGTGAGTGTCGATATTCGACATTTTCGCGCGACCTGTTTTTTTTTTATATAAGCGTAATGGGGTGCAAGTGATTGGAAAGCGGTGCCAGGTGAAAACGTCTCGAGTTCATCGTTTTGACACGCAAATATTGACGTTTTGATAGTGCCCGTGTGTTGACAGTAGTAGTCAAGGCCTGCTTGCTATATATGCAAATCGAATGAGATGCAGTTTTGTTAAATAGATAATCACGAGCAACAAGTAGTACCTGCGTGCTTACGACCGAAAATATTTTGACAGTTGCGTTAAAAGTACACAGACCTGCATATGCGCGCTGTTATGCAACCGCGTTATTTTTTAGGTATGGTTATTTATATGCGGCCGAAGTGGTTTCTCGGAAAGACCTGCGATAAATCTTGGCTATCCCCTGCGCTTTAAAGTGCCTGTTTTGTAACGCGCTTTTCTTCGGGAAACATTTTTATAAATAAAAAATAACCTTTGTGCCAGGGGCCGACTTCTTGCTTGAATATTGAACCGATGAATTGAATCGAAATGAACTGATCTATTTTGCACTGAAATCAACCCGTCATCAATCAACGAATCAACCTCTAGGCCTTTGAGATTTTTACAACATCATTGCAGTTTTGTGATTATCATTTTTATGCCGAGGATGACACTCAACTGTATATTTCTTTTCTGCCCGTTTCTGCCCCTGCAGCAGTAATGTGTAGTGGGGATCAGCTTCCGCCCTCTCCTCGAAACAAAAGCTCGTCGAACGCAACAGACCGGATAACCTTTTTAATATTGGGTTGGTGGCTTTGATAAATATTTTTCACACCCACGGGACCCCGACGTCCGTTAGTTCAGGGATTTAAAACAGGCTTCACTTTATGCAGGAACCCAGATGGGCGACAAGGTGAAGGTAGAGATAATAAAAAGGAGACGATCTATGCTTTCGAATTTGTTGGGACGAAAATGGATGTGTCTCAAGTAACGCGATATCTGCGGTAATATAAATTTTGGGTCGTCTTGAATTAATCTTTAACTAGACGCCTGTTTCAGGCCATAACGATAGCGAAAGAAATAGTGAGGCCAAAGGGTTCTTTTGTTGCCTTATTTTCTAAAATTGAACTGAGGTGGCTTTTACTTGATGAAAATCCATTTATCAAAATAAATAAGAACTAAAAGTTCAGATTTTCACGAAATTATATATTTTTACATGACAATTGTTTGGACAACACCGTACCTGCTACTATATATGCCGAAAAGGGCCATAAAACCTTAATTAATGTTGTGAGAATTTAAGTACAATAAAGGAGAGGTATTTAAATCTACTTGATCGTTAAGCAATACATTTGAATGTCTACAATAAATTTAGTTTTCTACTTTTTGTGACTATATGCAA